TTTTCAAGGTTGAAGAAGATGGGATTATATATATATATATATATATATATATATATATATATATATATATATATATATATATATATATATATATATATATATATATATATATCAAGGTATAAAATAATATACTATTAATAAGTTTTTCCTTGACATTTCGAGAGGCGTTGTAAGTTACACTTTATTGAATTCTTATCGGATATTTTCACCACCATATTAAAGAGCATATCAAATACTATTATGATACTCCGCCACAGCCTTCTGGAGGAGCGCCATCGAGAGATTCTGCCACGCGACCGTGAGTGGGTGCCTGAGATCAGCGAGATAGTCGATTTCTCCGCCACCGTAGACCACCCTATTGAACTCCGCCCGAACCAGGTAATTGAGGGGGTTTGGGTCAGATGACCTGCTTGAATATTCCACCTTTCTCAGGTACTCAACGCCCCTCCATTCCAAGTAGGCGAGTGTTTCTCCAACGCCCTTCGATTTCATGTGGTGGCACTCAATGCTGTAGCAGTAAAGTTTCCAAGAAGGTAGGGGCGGCGACATGTGGGGAGGATATTCTTCTCGAGTTGCTCGATGTAACCGCCAGCGCTCACCTTCAGTCCGGGGTCCACGAAGAAAAAGATTGGTCTTTCCATTTTAGGTACCTCCGGACCGTGCCATCAACTGGCCCTTGGAGACTGGGGTGAAACGATGTCCTGGACCGTAGCGACGTTGTCGGAGCTGCTCGATGTTGGAGTCATCCAGATCGAGAGTACTGGTCTCCAGGTAGCTATCCATGGGTGACTCCATACTAGAAGTTTCGCAGCTGTTTGGAGGTGACATGAGTTCCGAAGGTCTTCTCCAGTCAGGTTGCGGCTGGAGATGACCTCATATTTTGGTGTACATGAAGGTGATGGGCGAGCGCCAGCTCCTGCTTATAGAGGAACATCTTGGGTATCTTCCGCCCTGGTACTCGTATCCACGTCCTCTGTCTGGGCTGCGAAAACTTTGCTGATATGTGACTCGGTCGAAATGTCTTTTTTTGGCCCCCTGTATTATTTATTTATTTATTTATATGTATTGTTGATCGAACTCAAAGAAATAAGCCTTGCCTTCGGCAGGCGCACATAACTGAAACGCAACTTTTTTGATAGTGGGCTGCTCATACAGCGCTGTAGTGATCGAATCGTAACAGATAGAGCAACGCTGCGGATCCTGCTTTCCTAAGCACACGCTTAAATTTGCGCTTATACAGAGCAATATGAATCTCTCAGTAGAACAAATTCCATCTTCATCAACTGCACCAAAATGCCTACCGATTAACCCTTCCCTTTTCAATTACCATGCAACCCGCTTGCTGAAGTACAAATAATTGTAGGTATTATGCTCCCTTATTATTCGTTCTCATCAGTAATTGAAAGGTTGAAGGTAAAAAAGCTACTGAACGCATAAAGTGCCTCATTGTTTCAGGTTTTCGGTTCTCCTCGAATTTCCCTGATTTCACGTGAACTACATACCCCTTCCCCCCGCTCGTCGACATCGACATTATATAGTGCTAGTTAGTGCTATCAGAGAAGTGATGGCTTAAGGAGAAGTTTGCACACTGATCCTTCAATACTTGGCAGTATAGTGGTAGGAGATGTAATGATAATGGCCCCTTATCCTTTCTTATCAATTGATAAGATTGTCTGTCACCCGTCATTAGTTTCCTATCACTAAAGCTCTATAATTTGGTAGTGTAAAGGCCCCAACACTTTGACTGAACAACAACGGCAACGCTCCTTATCAGCCCATATCAGCTGTTATCACCTCCTGTCACCCGTCGTCGATGTTCTCATCTCCCACTCTATATCATTTTCTGAAATCAACGCCTAGCTGATGCTGTGTCCCGCGTTATAAGTATGGTGACCTTCCCATTCTAACTCCCCTTATCAAATCTTATCAGCTGCTAGCACTTTTTGTCACCCACCAATAATAATCGTATGCCATAGCCTACACCATACCTTGGAACTAACGTCCTACTCATGCTGTGACCCGCGCTATGGACTCGGTGCCCCTCCCCTTCTGACGCCTCTTATCAGATCTTATCAACT